TTGCAGATTTACAATGCAGTTGTAAACACTTACAACACAGCTGTCTCTGATCCCATCATATTGAAAGTTTGCAAGGCCAAAGACCTGACAAGGAAACTGAGACTGCAGGCAAGTTCTCTCACATTTTAACTCTGTTGTAGCTAAGTCCCATTAAGGCACTGGTTGCCTCTTACTCAAGCCCAAACTCTTTCAAAATAAAATATCATGACTAGAATGGAGGCTCATTTCTACCTACCAGAAACATTTCCCTGCTTTTAGGGGAAAGCAGTTCAGCCTGTACATATACAGAGGTGATGCAAAGCAGAATCGTACACCACATACATCAGCCTGAAAATCTCATAATATATAGCAGAAGTGTACTATTGAGCCTCTGTTTAGAGCAGTGATTCTCAACTAGGGTGCAGGGCACCCTATGGTGCTCTGAGATCCATTGAAGGGTGCCACAGGAAGTATGAGGAAATAAGCAAATAAGGGCAGGCTCAAGGTTTCAGGAGTGAGGAGATAAGCAAGTTTTGTATCCAACAGTCTTTTCCTAGGTAGAGATAGGAAGCCAATAAAACAAAACAAGGAATACTTGCAAAGACACTTACAATATATTCTTTCCCATCTCTAAGGATTTGCTTTACTGAACTTTTCACATTGTTTATAGACATTTTAATTCCTATAAACTATGGTCTATCTACAAGATCAGGTTTTACTCTGCTTTAACAATGATATTATTTTAAAAGCTATAGTTTATATCATGAAAAAATGAGCTATTTCAAAAGCTACTGCACTGATGTATTTTCTTCTGCAAACGATAGCTAGAGATGTCTGGGGGAAAGAGGTAGGGCAGGAGGTGAAATTGATCATTAAAAAAAAAAAAAATCATTTTTTTGTTGAAATTTCAGAATAAAACTGATGTCAGAATTGCATAAGTAACCAAAAGGACACTAACCACCAATTAGTTTTGTGGTAAAAAGCAAGCAAGTGGAAGATATCAACAAACAGCCTTGAGCACATACCTGCAGCTTTCTTTTTTTCCTCGAGAGGCTTCCCGTCCAGTCACTGATACGTCGCATTCGGCTTTTTAAACTATCCTTCTTGGACGCATCTTCATTTAACGGTTTAGACTTTCTACATGGGAGGGTGTAAGAGGAGTACTGTGTAGGGCCCTGGTGCTCTACTCTGGAGGGAACATCAATGTCTGAGGCAAATGAAACACGGTTGCTCAAACTAGCAGGAGTACTGATGTATTCATCAGACAGCCTGATGCCTGAGGCCGGGCTTCTTTCCAAATTTGTATCCTTGTACAGATCACGGAGAGAGGAAAGAGATGAACTTTGGTTAAAGGGCTTTTGGCTGTCATTTGGGGGAAAACTGGCATGAATGCTTGTATCTGGAGTGCTCCTAGTAAGGTATGACCGATCCAATTCATTGATGTTCCCAGTGTTGCCCCAAGGAGAGTCATACCATGAAGACTCTGAGCTTAGGGAGCTCCCTTTACTGGATCGAAGTCTTGAGTCAGTTGGTGACAAACGATGGCTTGAAGAGTAGTCGGTGCTGGAGTTCCTCCTCACTTCAAGCAGGTTATTTGACTTAGATTCTAAAGTTGGCGAGTACCTCAACAGCTGGACTGGTCCACTGGCCTCCTCCGTAGGCACTTGGTCATTGCTGCTGTTGTGGAACTCCACCCTTAAACAGCCGTCCAGCTTCCCCAGTGTTTTAATAAGAACTCGTGGGCTCCTCCTGTCCTCTGATGGTGGGGTTGATGCCACACTCTCATTCTTTCCATAACAATTTAAAATGTGTCCATTGCAATCCCTGGAGGCAACCTGATTACTTGCAGCTTCGAGGCCAATATAATGGAAACCATTCTCAGGCAAGAATGCCGCATTACTCCCCTGGCAGTAGTTCCCCGAGGCATTTGTGCTGTGTTTGGCACAGATATTGCTTTTAGAGACCTTGGCCACTGTGTCACTTAGTCTAGATGAATAAGGCTGATTACTCTTGAAATGGGAGAGACAACTTCTGGCTAGAGACCTTGATTTGTAGTTTGAGCCACTGTTGTTGTGTCCCCAACCATGCACAGAGCAGGACTTATCATCTTTTGCAAGAATGCCACGAATTTTCAGAGAGCAAGGCTTCCGCTTGGCACTGGGTGCAGCAGGAGTATGATTTTTTGATCCCTGTAGGCTGTACTGGCTTTCTGAATTCCCCATTTTCCGCTAAATGAAGAAGACTTTCGTTAGGAACAGGATCAGAAGATGAAAAAATAAAAGCAACAGAACAATTTCGTATCCTATGCAGGAGCACAGCCTTTCCTGTAGTAAGAGTCAACTTCCTAAAAAGAGACTGTTTGCAGCATTTTAATAATTTATGTTTTCATTTTTTTTTTTAGAAAGAAATTTAAGAAACCTCATTCTTTATACAGTCTGTTAGCGTCTGCTGAAAAACTGGAGTCTACACCTATTAAAATCACATCAGCACCTCCCTCCTTCCACACCCCTGGCAACAGCTTTCTCTTATAAACTTGCAAAATCTTTGGCTCCCAAGAACAATAGCATAATGAAAGAGGCAGCAAGATAATGATTACTTAGATTTAAGTGAACTGTACTTTCAGAAAAATCCTTTTTTTGCCAGGAGACATGCAAACTGCAGTTTCAGCTCAACTAGCTTCTATGAAATAGAATGTTTAGTAAACCCTTACTTCACATTTAGAGACAATCCAAAAAATAAAAAAAGGCTTGGTTATTGAATAGTTTTAGCCTTCCTTTCAATGCAGAGCTGTACTGTGTTTCTGCAGCACATAGCTTTTAGTAAAGAAAATGTCAAACAGCTATTTCAGCAAGTGTTATTCTCAGAGTACCATGCATGAGTAGCCCAACTGCTAATGTAAGGAGGCTACAAAACACAGTCCCAAAATTACACACTTGGAAATAAAAAGGCCAAAGTCCATGTTCACTTATCTGGGTTCCGACTCTATTGGGTCCAATGCAAACATAAAACAATAAAGATTTTTTATTGACCTAAAACATCCTAAACTTCATATTGATAGAAACTGTTCCTCTCATTACATCAACTACCATATTACCAGACTAATTAAGTAAATTTATAAAGCTTCATTACAACTTTGTCAGAATTCACTCTGTAAAAGCTGATCCATGATTATTTTATGCGTACATTTAATATTCTCCTTTCCCTAATCCATTTTTCTTCTTTTTGATTTAGAGATCCAGCATATAATAGGAAAAGATATACCTGTAAAATTGCTGTTAAATAAGGGCACAATTAATAGTCAGCATACTTCACACAACCTTGATAGCCAGCCACCACACTTCCCACAAAAGAGATGGGCTTCCATCAAGACTTTCTGGAAAACATGAATAAAAAGAGGGAGGGGGGAATGAGCGAGTGAAACAAACACATACTTTAATTGATACCATATGTAAATCAACATAAAATATCAGACAGAATGAAGGTAATATAATTGGTTTGCTTTTATACTTTAGGTATGATTTTTTTTAATGATTTTCTTAATTACTGTGAAATTACTGCAATAGAATGGAACATGTAGCATAGAGTTTCTTCCTTTCAAATCCTTTCTCCATTTTCAATGATGGACTTGGCACAAATTTTCAGGACTCTGAATCTGGCTTTTATAACATCAATTAGAATTCACCAGGTTGTGCAGCTATCCATTATAATTTGGAACGCTTACTAATGAGGAAAATTTTTGTGTTTGTTAAATCTATGGCTGAATTCCAACCATGACCCCAAAGGTGAAAGGCCACTTAGTAATTCACTCAACCAACCAGCTAGAAACATCTCTCTTTAGATTTATTCTGATTTTAAGTTAATCTGCCAGTAAAACTACAAAAACAGCAGCACCAGGCATGGCACACACCAAAAGGTAACAAGACAAAAGCTACTATTGACAGGCTAAATACCTCAGCTGTTCAGATGGCACACAAGGGCTGTAATTCAAAACAAGAGGACAGGATCTGATTTTCACAGAATGTAACAGCAGGTTATTGACTGAAAATGGTCAGTAAAAAAAGAAAAGAAAATGCATCACTGAAGATTATGCTTTAGTTTTTTTATTATAATTAGAACAGCATTTAATGAATATGCTGTTAACAAAATTCTTCCATTCCCTCAAGTAAACCAGTTTACAATAAAAATACTCATCTTAACTGACAGAGGCAAAAAAGCACATTGAAGGGTCTGACTGCTTTTGTAAGAGACAGAAAATATGAAATATCTGCTTGTCTGTCTTAAATATTACGACCCACACACACGATCAACATAATTCTTCAGTCAGGTATGCGTTTTACTAATCTTTTGGTTGCCGAGTTAAAAAAGTAACAGAATAGCATAAAGAATGCCTTGCAACCAAAAGCCTGTCTAACTTATCCCAATAACATAGTTGGTCCAAAAAAGACATCGCCCACAAAAATCCTTGCCTCTTGCAAACTAGCATTAAAGCAGTCCTAACAGAGTTCTGGACAACAGTCACCAAATAAATGGCTGATGCAGAATCCTTACAAGAGGCAAGGAATTCTGCAAGACAGTACCATCTACTGTCTATCCCATTCTGTGGTGCTACATCCTTACACAATAATATTTTAACCAAGGTATTTGTTGGAAACTTCTACTGTGTGGGGACTTGGATAAAATCTTATGATAAAAACCTGTGTCTTCGTTTTTCTTTTTAATAACTACAAAGGCCTATAAAAACCATAAATAAAGTAGCATACACAGCACTGAGTTGACAAAAAGGGGAAAAAATGTTAAATTTAAAATGAAAAAAAAGCTACCATAAGTTTGCAGGGGGCAAATACCAAAACTTTATCAAGTCCCTAACTTCTGGTTAAGTGTGAAATCTTGGGAAAACTGTTCTCATCATTCCAATAGGAGGTAGTTTATATTCAGAATCTACATTAGAAGCATAAACTGCATTCACAAGGAGACTCTGGAGAAGCTTATTTCTATTCATAAGGGGAAACTGAACCAAATTTGTCTAAAGCAGCAAGCAAAAAGACCATCTGGTCCCCATAGAGATTGTGCACTGGATGGGTAATCCTTTTAACAGAGTGGAGAGTGAACAGGCTGCTATTATGGACCTCAAAAGCTAGGCATTCAGTTCTTTAAGACTCAAGCCACTGCTGCAACTTCTTTTATTAAGATATTATACAATACACGTATCACATAATGGGTGAATGAATGAGGTTAGCTAAGGGCACAGTGTCTGCAGACAAGGGTCACAGTCAGTGCAAAAAAATACTGAACAGTACAACAGAGTCAACAAAATCCACAGAAATAGTGAGAAGGGATTTTTCTCACCCCCTGGCAACTCAGACAGCAAAAATATCCTGAAACTTTTATATTAGTATATTAGCAAATCACGATAACTGCAAGACTGCACTGTGACTTAGCAACTTCAGAATCAGATGGAGTCCCTGTTGTTTTAAATCTGTAGAAAGATTTTCTTTCCATGAACTACAACATAGGCAAGTTGGAGGGACTGGTTTGGTGCTAAATGCAGCACAATACTGAGAAAGGGAACTGGGCTCCAGTAGTTTCCTTTTCTTTGATTTTGGAAGGTCATGTATTTTGAAACTCTTAATTCTAGAAGTGGGAATGACACTTTAAGGGAGTAAGTCCATTTACATGTTAAGAGTAAAAAAATATTTGTCATATCGTTTTATCTTAGCGCAAGCAGTACTTTCTCCCATTAGTGCACAGGGCTGGGGGGAGGGAGGGGAACTGGCCTAGCCTTCCTGACCTCAGCTCAAGAGTGAAGGTGGGGATGGACCCCCTTCTTCCCCTTATGCTTCCCAGCCATGCTTATGCACAGCCTCTCTGGGGAGCCCCCACACACTGGCCTCTCCATCCCTGCTGTGTCCCAAGGGCACTGGGAGGGCGAGCAGGGCAGGGCTGGCTGCCAGGGAGCTGGGAACAGATGGCCAGGGAGGGGGCACATAGCCAGGGCCCAGGGAACAGTGTGATCAGGCCAGAACAGTACAGCTAATCTGGGGTCTGAGGCCTGTGCTTGGTCTCCCTGCACCTCCCTCCTCCACCCTTCCCTCCACGGGGCTGGGCACTCGGACAAGAAGCAGGATTTGCCATTATTCAGGTGGCGATGCTGTTACATAAGCCAGACAGCTGGCTTTGCTGGTGCCCATCCAGCCTCATTATTGGGTCCAGGCTCTTCCTGACCCTCACTGCTGTCTTCAATGCATGTCTTCTCAGCCAGTGGCAACACCCACCCCCACCTCGGTAGGTATGCAACCCAAGAACCCCCATAACCCACCCTGCACAGGGCTGGGAGGGTGAGGGGAGGCAGAACGATTGCCTCCTACAGGGCCCAGGACACCGTTCTGG